CACTTGCGGAATGGAGAGTTATATCGATAGTAAGGTTTTTTGGGTATACTTCAGAGCGTGCCATTTTTACCTACAACGGCAATGCGAGAAAGTTGCGATCTTTAATGACCTTCTGAATATATATCTGTGATTGGGCCGGTAAATTATATCGTCGCATGATTTTATTTGTTTTTTTTTTTCTTTTATGATTTTGGATTTCCTGTGTGTTACGTAAAATTCCTTGCAAATTTACCGAGTTGGTCATGTGCCTCAGTTTGAATTTTCGAAGGAAATTAGATAACCACTGCGTCGTAATAGTATGATTTGACCCATAATTGGAACACTAGAGGGATAAAGGGGATAAAGTATGCTGCAACTAAAATCTGGTGTTACTGAACACAGTAAATGGGTAAATATTTTTGAAGACGACAAAAATCAAAAATGCTAGATATGATTTTTTCGGACAAACAATACACACATAATGATCACAATTGTAGTACCAGAAAATTTCCGGTTCGCCTTCGAAAAATAATTACCCAAATCGTAATTTTATTGGTCAAATACATCGGTGTAAAATGAATTGCGATTTCTCGTGCTTTACACTATAAATATTTCTTTCGTTAGATAATACGAATTTTTCATCGACCGAACAAAGATGTTGATATAAAGAAATTATTCCCGTACCTAACTTTGAAGAAAATAAAAAAGTTTAATATTTCTGAAAAAAAGGTGAAAATTTTCTTTTCTTTTTTTTTTAGAATTCAACTTGTTGCATAAATTATATACATGTAATTCTGTCTAATTTTCCATATTTTAATTTATACTCGTAGTTAGAAAATTGTAATGGTTAGTTGATTGGTGTATTTACCTGAGAATGAATAGGCGATAGAACGAATATTTTCGGATTTGGACGAACGTTGTTACAAATGTCACGTGCGAAATACTTGCTCCCCACAAGGATTCCTATAAAGCCATATCATGATCAAGATATTAGTAGAAATTTCTATTTGAGTAGAACCTCATTACAAACCCGTAACACTTTCTCGTGTCTCGTGCCATTCCAAAGAAATCTGCGACCGAATCGCTTTGAATGCATCTGTTAGAATCTTGTTATTTTGAGAGATCGTGCAATCCAATGTTGTAAGATTATAGTATCGGGCTACTATTTGTTTCCTTGTTTAAATATTCTTTGGTTATATTATGGCAATTATCAATTCTTTTTATAGCAATCATTGCTTGTCCGGTCTTCGCTTTCTTCATCCAAATTCGTCGAGATCCTTAAATTCAATATGAGGAATAAAAAGTACCAAATGATCGCTTTCCTAATACTCGGTAAGAATAAGTTGATCCCACGAAATCCATTTAAGAGTCTCGGTGGCATTCTTTTGAGTTCCTAGTTTAGTCCTTGTTTCCACTTGAATGTCACCTGGCGACTGGACTTTGCAAATCGCTTTAAAATTCTAAATAATTTTCGGTGCTGATTTTAGTTGTGGTTTATTGAACTTAATTATTGCATACGGCATTTCATCACTTTTAACAAAACAGTAATTAATAAATCACTTTCCATTATTGCGATTATGTACTCTTAACAAATTTAGTAATAAATATTTTAGAGAATGATGTTTTTTTCCGTTGCAATGATTTTAATTTCTCATTGATATTATATATAATATATTCTGTATATACTGTATATGCAATTTATTAATAATATATGAACTTTCCTTTCATTAGTATGTATGAATAAGATACGGGTCACGAGGGAGAAACAATCAGAATCCACCTTTTTACTACGACTGCAACATTGCAACATAGTAATCAATCTATACGAGTCCATGTATTTTTATTCCGGAATTTTCTAATGTCTCGATTATAAATGCAGAACCTTTTTCGAATTTCAAATAAAATAACACATAACAATGACTAGTACATTTATCGAAAAATAATGAATCTACCAACTGTTGCCTATATTTCGAGAAATTTCCTTAAGAATTTGACGTGATAACCACTCGTCTTCAAAAGGTACTAATTTCGCAACGCAACCGGATTATATCATTTCTTTCCAAATCGGGCAAGATTGCGACAGTTTGGATTGGTCAATAAGACGCTTTTTATGATTAATATACGGGATGCCCCTTTCTATATATAGGCAGGTGGCAACAATGGAAAATTTAGCCGGAAAGTCATTAGATATCACACCGCATTCCACATTCCTCGTTTGTAGTCTATTCTACAGCATCGCATTCCACATTCCTCGTTTGTAGTCTATTCTACAGCATCGCATTCCACATTCCTCGTTTGTAGTCTATTCTACGGCACCGCATTTACCACAAGATCCGAGACCCCACGTGCTATTTATCATAGAAAACGTCTTTTCTTAATAATAGGAGGATATTGTAGGTGAAATATGATTTTCGATTTTAATTTTAAATACAATATATATAGAGAAAGTTTCTTCAGAAAATGGTTTAATCGACCAAGAAAAAACAATGTCGATTTAGGTAACCTTGCATAACTACCAACGAGGTACAGTTTTTTTATTGACGAATTAAAATTTTTGTTGAGCAAACATCTGATTCACGAGATCAGGGTACCTTTCTTGACACAATTTTAATTCGCTCATCTTTCATTATTATTTAACATTTCCATTCAGAAAATGGATCGAATGACAAGTATCTTTTCGCTGTATAAAAAATAATATGGAAGGTATCGTAACAGATTATGGTGAGGCACTCTAATAACTTGTCTTTATCCGAGCTAGATGCTTTTGAATAATCAAGATTCTAAACCTAATTTGCGCATAAATTTTGAGTATTGATTTTTTTGATTTTTTCAAAAATTTCCCATCAAAAACAACGAATACAATATTTATTATCACAATAGCGAAGTACGTAGTGAAAAATAATATGATAATTTGTTCGCATCATTCCATCATTTCATTTTTGATTAGCATACAATTTTCATGTTTGAGTCACAACCTCATCATAAATACTTTTTAATACGTGGTAACAAATAAATACATCTAGCAGATACAGCAGATATAAATTATCAAAGTAAGTCTGATGTATAATCGGCAATTAAATTAGACATTTAGAAATTCAAGTACAGTACTACCATTTATAGGAAATTCCTTTTTAAACATTGACTTCTTCGACCTCAAATCCTGGAACAATACTTTGACCCCCATAAGCTACGGGCAAATTTCCTTCGTCGATAGCAGCGGTCATACACTCCTTGACGTTACTTTGCGAAGCAACAATAAATTTACTTTTGGTTTCTTCCGACAAAAACATGGAGATAAACTTAAAGATGTAGTCGCCCCACCAAGGGACATTAATAAAGTATTTCACAGCCTGCATTTTTTTGAGATAATAGATAAGTGACGCCACACGTTTAAACTTTGAATACCAAATGGAAAACAAAGGTTTACCAAAAATTCCGGATAATTTTCTTGTATGATCTGAATAACGCTCTTACTTGCGGTTTTGGCCGTTTTATCATAACTCATCATCGAAACCATATTATAATCATGCACCTGAGCGATCTGATCAACCTTCACAAAATCTAGATGCTGAATTCCTTTTTCCATCAATTGAACTCTCCATCTTAAAAATCGATCCAAATCTCCAAAAACCTCATTATTATCAAGCCCACCGTATAAATTATAAGTGACTGGACGGTTGTATTTATCATGTTTGTGAATGAATCCGACCTTCGCAAATATGGATTCGGGAAATGTTTCGGAGAGTATTGAGTCGGTCTTAAATTCGATCCTCCATTTGAGTGAGTTGGTTAACATTTCCTTGGCAAGGTTCACATCAAGATTTCTGTAACAGCAATGTTATATTGCGTTGAGACAGTTTATAAAAAATAGGGTTTTAATTAACAGAACTGATGTTGAATAATACCTGGCTTTCAAGAATTTCCGGAGAATAACATCAAGTCTATCATCGCTTGAATCTTTATCCAAGGAAATACCCCAAAGCGTATAATTCTCCGGAACTCCTGAATCTTTTATAATTTCTGGAAGTAACGCTTTGAGTTCATTAATCCCTTTCTTTTCTTCTTCGTTAAATGCGTTTACGAGCAAATTGCTTTCAGTATTTTCCGTATTCATTTTTTTTTTTTTTTGACTTAAACCTCTCAACGATTTTTGCGGTCCATTTTAAACATTGGTTTCGGTAATACAAAAACTCTATTTAGTTAAGATCCCGTATACATGATGCAATAAAATCGTAATTCGTACAACGTGTAATTATCGTGTGTTACGAATATGGTACTAAGCAAACATACGTAAAACAAAGCTCATGATTCCATAATGCGATTTAATACACTACATTTCCTCGACAAATTAAGCCTGGCTTATAAAAAATCGTAATATCTGACGCTCTCGTTCGTTAAAATTTATATATCCGTACATATCGCAATTTTCCTTGCTTTTCGTAATACTGTATATTAAAAAAAATTTTTTACTGTACATACTAAAAAAAATTTTGAATACGTGGCATATAGATTTGTTCAAATAGATTTTTTGAAGCCTCGCATCAATTGTTTTATTTCAAAGAAAATTATATAGATACGGTGTATATTATATTAAATTAGATTTTAAAAAGCTTATACATTCTTAATTAACAAATCAAAATCAATAATCGATTTTCATGGTATATAATCAATTGTCATAAAAATAAAAAATCCATATTTGTATAATAATATAAAAATCAAACAATAAAAAAAATATACAATTGGTATTTGTATTTTATTGTTATTAAAAATATATCTCGATTTTATAAACAAAAGAACATAAGAAATTTAAATTTTATTTATAAAAGTTGATTAAATCCATATATCTTTTATTTATTTTACTAAACACAGTAGTTTGAGAATTAATATTATTATTGATTATAAGCTAATTAAATACTTTATTTATTTCAATTTATTTTTAAATTATTATTAAAAAACTTTTTATTATTATAGTATTTATGGCTTTTTGAAAAATTTTAATTAATATAATTAATTTTATTAAGATTTATTAAATTTTAAAAACTAATTTATTAAAATTAGATTAATATTTAATAAATAAAAATTACTAAAAAATTTTTTTAATATAATTTTTTATTTTTTTTTTATTTCTTTTTTCTGTAGACAAATATTATTTCTTTATTTAATTTGTATAATAATAAATATATATTGTGAAAAAAGTAATACCTCTCATATATAACAGTACAACAAGTTAAATGCTAGCTTATTTATAATAACTATTGAACTAATATTAAAAATAAATTTTAAAATAATATATCTTGTTAGAAACTCCAAACAGCTATAATTATCTACTCAATATTAAATAGAAAAAAGTTAAGAAAATTTGAAATTGGTTTAAAATATATTTAATAAAATTAAATCCACTTTGAATATATGAATTTATAACTACAATTAATATATAGTTGGAGTTATATAATTAAATTTAAATTTATTAATAGAAGTTTATACTGAAGTTTTGTTGTTTAGTTCAATTTATATTATTCGGTACTTAAAAAATATACAATAATTTGACAAAAAAAAATATAACATTTAGTAAAAAATAATTATTTGACAATAAAAACATTCAATAATAAAAACATTTAACTATAAAATTATTTGATAATAAAATTATTTGGCAATAAAATATTTTTAATTAAAAAATATTTAACAATAAAGTTATAATATTCTATAATAAAAATTATTATATTTGGAATAACTTTTTAATATTTAACTATAAAGTTAACAAAATTATTTAGCATTATATATTTTGATAAAATCAAATTGTATATTTTCAATAAAAAATTTACATTTATAATAATATTCAGCAAAATTTAATTAATACTTGATAAATTTATTAAAAATGTAAAAAATATATAATTTGAATCAATTATTTATTAAAAATGTAAAAAATATATAATTTGAATCAATTATTCATTAATTATTCATTAATTATTTGCTTATCTTTTGTTAATTATTCACTAATTAATTATTCAGTAATTGTTTGCTCATTTTTTTTTTAATTATTCACTTATT